GGACGAGTCCCTCTTTCGCCCCTGTGTTAATTGCATATCCGATCCTACAATATGCGTCAAGATGCCCCAGGCCCTCGAACCAGCGGCTAGTAAGCTTCACAGGAGGAATTCCGGTATGATTTCATTGCTTCCACAAGTTTCAGATGACGGGGCCGTGGTCTTTGCATCGCAACGCAAGGATGTGAAATTTTTGGATATGACATGGATCAACAACTACATTGTCGTACTGATTACGCCAATTGGTATTTCTAATCTTGGGTGGAAGTATTATTTGATTTATGCGGTCTTGAACGCTGTCTTTGTCCCCGTGGTTGGATATTATTATGTGGAGACAGCAGGACTCTCCCTTGAGGAAATTGATAAAGTATTCGAGTCAGAATACACGGAAGGGAGGCCAGAAAACGAACTCATTTCCGGGGAGCAGCCTGAGAAGGAACATTTTGAGCAAGTTGCACATTTTTAAATACTGAGTTTTTGGTTTGCTTGGTTTCGTGCCAGCTTTCAATGCTTTATCCCTCGCAGAACACACTCGTTCTCTTTCGCATTATGGCGCTCCCTCCGACAAGCATGGCACGGACAAGCTCGGAGAGAGTTGGTACTACAGCAACGAATAAAATGATTGGATTCCCAAGCAGAAATGGGATCCCGAATTCAACGATAAGTACAAGATATTTTTACAATATTTTACTTTCAAGAATACATGTTATTTTGTCTGGTCACACCCAGGCTGCCCGCCCAAATCTGTGCGCAGAAATGTGCTAATCAACGAAAGCTAAGAGTGGATGAAATTAGTGGCGGAATTTAGCCATCATGCATATACTTGCTCAGCCAGAAGCAACTACTTCTTAGCGAAGCGGCTTTTGCCTCTAATAAGTTTGCCATAGCGGAAAAAGAGGAACGGAAACGGTATCATGGCAACAGTGAGCAACGCCAACAATGATGACGCCCATTGGTATCCTAACCCTTCAAACATGTGCTCGCCGAAAAGCGGGAATACGGCTGAGGTTTCAGATTAGCTTTATGCTGAAAATCAAAGTCATGGCATTTTACTGCCTCCATATACGTACCGGCAAAAATGCATCGGATGAAGCCATTTGCGGCCATGGCGCTCGCTGCGTACGTTGGATAAGCGTCAACCTGACGCAAGTTCTGTCAGTTGTGCCTTTCAAAAGACAATTTTAATAAAAAAAAAGTGTAGAGGTCCAGACAACTTACAAGAAAACCGAAAATAGAGGTAAACAGCAGCAATGCCCTAGTTTGGTGTCACTACGTCAGCTTTTGAACCTTTTCCTCTTGCACTTTGAGAGCTTGTACTTACCCAAATCCAAATATAGTAGAGCCTATGATAGGAGCAATCCAGTGCACCCAGGGGAATGTTGTCCATCCAAACATGAACATGCCAACAGGCACAATCAGAGAGCCTACCATAGCAGCAGGAAGCCGGAACTCGGGCTCGCTAGCACCTTGGATACCCGTCTCTTGTTCTTTCTTTTGCACAAGACGGTTTCTCGCATTGTTCCAAACCGGATTCATGAAAATAGCTAGAATCATGCCAATACCAATTCCTAGGAAGGATAGACCGACTTGCCACAAGTTGAAACCATGATTGTTGACAAAGACCAGCGGGAAAGCGTCGAAAAATAAGTAAAGAATACCATGCAAGAGTGCTGCAAAAATGCAGAGGCAGAAACACATGGGTTCAAGGAAGAGCAGCTGGAATGGTCGGAGTAAGGAGTTGCCAATTGCGTGGGCAACAGACCGGTGCGCTCTTTCTATAGGAGCAAACCATGATTCGTTGTTTGTCTGTCTTCGAAGCTTTCTCGCCTTGTCTTGTAATAGGACCGGATCTAGCACATGTTAGTTTGGAACAGGACTTGAAGAATTCCGGCCATAAACTTACGAAATGTCTCAGGAACAAGGAAGATGATTGCCAGCCACAAAACAAAAGACCAAATGATTAAAACGTAGTACGTCCATCTCCAATCGAGATAAGAACAGATCAAACCACCAATCAGGGGACCCAGACTGGGTCCGATAAATGGCGACACTGAGAAGATAGAAATCGGGTGTTGTAGTTGCGCCCTGTCGAAGAGATCGTGAATGGTGCCTCCAGCCACGGCGAGGAAAGCGCTGCCAGCGAAGCCGTCGAGGAAACGGAAAACTAGAATCACCCCAATGTTCTTGGCGACGGCCTGTGGTATAATGAAAATAACATAGATCGTCCAGGAAATGACGTAAATGGGTCGCCGACCGTAAAACTCGCTGAGGGGGCCAAGAGCCATAGGACCGAAACTGATACCGAGAACGAAAAGGGAAAGACCAAGAATAGACACTATTCTTGAGTTGCCCAGCTCTGCTTCCATCTGTTGGTATGTCGCGGTGTAGATGGAACTAGCGCATGTCCTAAATATGTTGAGTTAGCTTGGGCCGGTTGCTTTGATCGTGCGCAACTTACATGCACAGACTGACAAAACAAATAACAAGAGTGATGCGCCATTTTTTCGAGGTGCTGTAGCTACGAGGGCATAGAGGATCCGCCTCACCACCCTCCCAGCCGACCTCGTAACTGTCTTTTTCCGTGCTCGGTGGGCTCTGGGCTTTTTGGTCTGCTCGTGCCATATCCGGAGTCGCGGCCTTGCTTTTGTCGTCCAGCGACTGAATTTCGCTGTCTTCGCTTTGCTTTTTCATGATTTCACGATATAAGTTTGCTCGATCGATTTTGGCTAGTATGGAAGTAGCCACCACAGCGCTGGGAGATGCCACGACGAGAATCGTGCAACGCCGGAGGAATCGTTCATTTTATTTTTGACCTAAACAAAGAAATTGAGCGAAATGAGCCGACGCGCCCCTATTTTCATGCATTCGGAGGGTTGACAAAGCACTTGAGGGCTGGAATCGGGCTGGCTGGCTGACTAGACCTGGAGCGGGTTTCGCGATGATCGGCATCTGGAACCCTCTCCTAACTGGCGTGACAAATGGAATTATTTCCGTGAGTATCTGTCGTTGCAACTAACTCAAACCGTAAGCAGGATCCAGGTCCGGACTCCGAACAGCCCCAGTCCGGATTATTCCCCAATTTAAATTCTAGACCAACTTAGGCTCCACCAAACCCTCCGTCCGCATGCCTAGTGGCCAGCCGGCTTGAAACGGATCGCCCATGCTCAAAAGAAACTATACTACACTACGTCGCCGCCATGTAGCCATACTCTGAAGGTGGTTTCGCCCAAGTTATGCAAGAATACACAAACAGCCTTCATTCATTCATTCATTACCTTTTGGTCAAAATCAACCCACAATGGCTACCACGACTATGGAACACGGCTATCACAACACATCATCGTCATATGTCCTTCCCAATGAGTGCGACTTTTCAGAACCCAGGCTGAATTGAAGCCTTCGCTAATATATGCTATGCAGCGCCATTGAGCAGGATCGACTCGATGCGCGAGCCGATGCCATTGTGGCCATGATTGGTGGTGCTCCGTTTTTGGCGTACAACCGTCATCTCACAAGCGCCTCCAAAGCAGTCGATATTGGCTGCGGAACTGGTATTGCAACCATTCAACTGGCTGCTCTGCTCCCCAGTGCAAACGTGGTCGGCGTTGACATTACTCCTGTTTCCGCACCTGCACTTGCTGCTGCCTCGCCCAATCTGCAATGGGAGACTGGTAATATTCTAGATGTGGACATGGAGAAGCAGACGGACAGCCTCAGCCGTGGTGCATTGGCACCAAACACTATTGGTTACTTCTTTGGACGCATGTTGTTCCTGGGTATCAACGACTGGCACAAGTACTTCCAGGTTGCCAGCCTCATGCTTCAGGACCTGGATTGGAAGTTCTATCGTGTCGGCACAGACGAATGCCTCAGCTATAACTGGAAATGGTACGCCCGGCTCATGGAAGCCGTCGAGAAGGCCGGTCTATCCGAAATTTCTGGATCCAATGCGGCCTCTCTCATGGAGACGGCTGGTCTGAAAGTCATTGAAGCTCGGAAGTTTGAGTTTTCGTTTGTCCCGTCAGCCAAGACTCCTAACAGTCAAACAATGGGTCGATACGTGCAAGCGAAGCTGATGTTAATCTATCCAGAGCTGATGCGAAAACTACTGGGGTCGCTGGACATTGCCCACGACGAAGTGGAACAGCTCATCCGCGATGCTTTAAGAGAAGACCTGTCATCTGAGGAAGGAATTCATCAGAAATACACTGTCACTATTGCAAAGAAAGCATGAAGCAGGTTCAATTGTCTTGTTCTAAGGTTTAATCTGGATCAGGAAAGTAGTAGTGCATGCTGAGCTTTCTTCTGGATAGAAAGGACAGCCAGTCGACGCCAATGTTTATCATGGGTTATGTGTATTTTCTCATACAGTTTATATAAGGACATACATAGAACACTCCGATCCGTGGATGTTGGAATTCACCAACGCAAAGTCAGGACACTCCAGTCAAATACTCCTAGAGCAACGGAGAAAGGCAATACTATTAGATGAAATACAGAACTGTTATTTTCCTGCTCATCAGCCTATACTGTCACAGGAGAAGATGAGATCAACTCAAGAGATAAAGTTGCAATATTGCGAGAATACTAAGAGAAAGAGGAAATAGAGATGTGCAGGCGCGTGGACGCGTGGACGTCTTAGTGCTATTACCCTCTGGCCTACTACCCTGCCACTCCGGACAGTCCCGTCAAATGAACATTTTGTGATGCCGGCTACTTTTCGGGCTGGCTATAAATGGCACAGCATTCAAATGAATGGCCAGTTTTCATGTTACATTACTTAGTACCTGCGTTGGTCCTGATACGAGTAGTATTCTATGCATATTTTATTTGCCAGTTCTCATCATTCTAAATCTGCTTGTTATATTGCTTGTATGTTGTGGGCCACACGCCATTCTTGCCAGGCGAGAGGATACCCTTTGGATCAAGTGCATCCTTGATCTTCTCGCTCAGCTTCATGTGCGCACTGTCGTTAAAATTGTAAGTGCCCGCAACCTGATCCATCAGCGCCAGATGGGCACGACCCATCCACGATCCGCCGCTTCCTGAATCAGAAGCTTGATGAGCTCGTGTGCGCGAGTGCGCATCTCGGGGTCCTCTCGATCGAAGAGGATGCAAACAATGTGATGAATCTCGCGCACACCAACAAGGAACGCGCCGAGGAAATCAAAACCAAACTCCTCGCTGCGACGGCGCGTCAGCTCGTACTGAGCCTCGGCATCGTCCCCAGTGAGCTTGGCGATGGGCGCAAAGAAGAGATGCCCACCATTTGGCAGCCATGATACCCAGTCCAATTCAGTGATAGACGGGATTCCCACAACTGTATTCTTTCTCGTTTGCAGCGCCTTGTCGTGAGGCCGGTCCTCCGGAAAGTAGAACTTGGTACCCAGGATCTGGCTGAAGGCGCCTTTAATGACCTTCCAGAGAACTTCGCGCACCTCTGGCGGTCCGTATATGCAGCCGTAAAAGTTCCAGCGGCCAAGGCCTAGCTTCTCAGCAATGGCATCAAGATAAGCATCCGTCATAAGCTCCTTGGAATTGGTATAAGAGCTGCAAGCCCCCTAGTTTCTTTCGTTATATTTGGCCCCGTACGGTTTGGGGTAAAATGTGCTACATACCTCCATAGCCGCGCTGACAAGGAGATTGTCCAGCTTTGGCACGTTCTGGAGAATCATGGAAACTCGCAGGGGCCGCATGATCTCGACAATGCGATTCAGATCATCATCACGGGGAAAGGTGATCATGTACGTCTGCGAGCCACCCGGGTTGGGCATGAGCCAAACGCCCATCTTTGTTACAATTCCGATGTTGGATTGAGAAAAGATTCCATCGTGATGCGGGCCAAAACCGTAGTTAAACAGCTGCCAGCACTCATTCGGCTCTTGCTCGTGGGGCGGCGCGTTCTTGTCTGCTTTTGGGTTGGGCAAAGCACCCATGCCCGTTCTTACCAATGATCCGTCGGGAAGAACAACTTCCAAACCGCAGTGCGTCATCCTGGACGAGTCAGCTATTTCTTCTTGAAGACCCAAGACCGCCCAAAACAATTAAGGAAGCAAAAAAGCAAACATTCTTACTAGTGATCTCCGTAAGGAGTATAACCAATGCCTCTCTCCATAGTGTTACCAATGACAGAGCCGCCGCCCAAGTCAGGGCAATCGGCCCAGACCTTGTCTCGTAGATCATGGTCAACAAGGTATTCGTGCAGGTCAAAGAAAGAAACACCGTCCTCAACAAGAGCATAAGCACTATCCGCGTCGACTTTGAGCACTTTGTTCATGTTTTTGCCCATGTCAAGACCGATGCTGCCAGGTACACGAGGAGCAGCACCTCCATACCCAAGGTCTCTACCCATGGAGAATGGACAGACAGGTATCTCCATCTCATTGGCAAGGCGCGTGATTTTCTGGACACCAGGAACATCCTTGGGAGCGACAGTGCATGAGTGGAGGAACACCTCCTTTTCCAAGATGTGGAACATGTCATGCACCTTGGAGCGGTCCATATAATCTTGCTGCTGGAGCTGGTCATCACCAGTCACAACAACAACATTTTCGTCACCGACCGACAATTGCTCTGGCACGGTGCAGGAACTCATGAAAATTGGCTGAAGACGTGTTTGGTGGCAACGAAATCGAAATGGGTTCAGGGTGACTAGGGGTAGCCTGCCCCTGCTTTTCATAATTCGTGTTCGACATGATTTATAGACGTTGATGTCTCGACTAGAGTGTCCAATCAATACAGCCAAATTCTCCTCCTTTTGTAGGATTCAAGTATATAAGTATGAACTTGAAGAGTATCACGCAGACAAGCTGGCTCGATAATGGTTAGCGGTGGACTAAAGAAAACCCACCGAGTGCTCCGCCACTAAAGGATTGGCATATGACTGAAACAAATCGCGGCTCGGAGACATATGGGGCTGACTGAGCTCCAGGCACTGGTGGAACGGGGCGCCGCTGCCATCCGAGCCGCAACGGATTAACCTACATTCAGCCCGATGTAACAGTGCGTAGTTTTAGTGTGCTAATCCCAGCACATCCTACAAGTTTTCTTCCTATATCGAGAGATTCTTCTAAGACTCTCTTTTCGCTAGATATTATCTATCCGACGCGCAGGTACCCGCAAAATCCACCGAGTGAGGATTGGTATATGACTAAATCAAAACGCGGCTCGGAGATATATGGGGCTAGGCCTCTCAATAGCCCGCAAAGCCCAGAGCCCAGCCCAACCCACCAAATGGGCTTTTGGTGGGCTGGGCTTTGAAGACTAGGCCCATGACCCACTGCGGGTTGGGCCGGGGGCCGGGGGCTTGGGCCCATTTGTGGGCTTTAAGGCTTCGGTTACATTCGCATGAGACATGCACATATTTGCCCGAAAGTCTTACAACAACAAGGATCCTCATTTAATTAGTAGTATAAATACAGTTTGCTTAATCTGGACAATGAGAAGCCTATTCAGGCACTATTAGTTCCCCCACTGGATAAAATAGGACGCCAAGAAAGCAAACCGGCGTCACCATGACCCCTGTCGCAATCATTACTGGTGCCTGCTCCGGAATTGGGCTTGCCATGTCCAAGGAGCTCATCCATCGTGGCTACAAGGTTTTCATGGGTGACATCAACTCCCAAGGTGGCGAGGTAGTTGATGCCTTGGCACTCCCTTCCGATGCCCCTGCACCTACATTCGTCCGCGGAAACGTTGCTTCCTTCGAAGACCAAGCCAGTCTCTTCGAAGCTGCCTATTCCTTCGCCCAGCACATTGACGTCTTCCTGGCCAATGCAGGCCTGGGCGACAGGGAAGATCTTCTCGCCGAGCCTGTCGATTCCACTTTTACCGCCAAGCCAGCACCGTACAATGCAACCACCGCCGAAATCAATCTAGGCGCTGTTCTCCAGGGATTTAAGCTCATGGTGCACTATAGTCGCCGTGCCCAATACGATGCAAAGGCCGCAGGCTCCGCGCCTCCCCCACTTGGCCGCATGGATGTCACTTCATCGACATTCGGGCTATACCCATTAGGCCTTGACAAGTGAAGCTGCACCTTGAGAAATTTGGTGCAATGGCCCGGTGCTGTGGGGTGCAGCGGTACCTTGGGAAATTTGGTGCAATTGCCCGGTGCAGCGAACGATAGTGCAGTTGCACCTCTTGGCGGTGCAACCAGGTGCTGCCAAGGCCAGATTTTGCCAAAAAATTACCCCATTAGGACTAATACCGCCGATCTGGTAACTAACAAGGCCGTAATTTACATAAATTACATATATAAGTCACGGGATAAGCCGAATTAGGCAATGTTTGCATTGTTTACAGTACCGCTGCACCGAACCTCGCCCTTGGTGCAGTCGGCCCCACGTACCACTGCACCGAACTAAGGCCTTGGTGCAGCCATTGCACCGGTACCGCTGCACTTGTCAAGGCCTAATACCCATTTCCCACGAACCCGGTCTATGCCGCCACCAAGCACGCAACAAGGGGACTTGTCCAGAGCCTTGGCCGCCGCGCTGAGCAGGAAGCAAACTTCACGCTGAACGCCATCCAGCCGGCTTTTGTGCCCACAGGTTTAGCCCCCGAGGGACTGGTGGCGCAGATCAGAGACAGAGGCTACGTTACGTCCATGGATACTGTTGTGAAGGCGCTGGGTTTGTTCCTGGGCGAGACTACGGAGCTACCGGATCACGTTCAGATAATCGAGCTTCCTGGTGCTGCAGCGGGTGATGGGCCTCTTACTGGAGAATGTGCGGAAGTTAGCATGGCTGAAATTTACTTGCGCGGTTCTGTTCCGTTTGATAATGACAGCCAACGATGGTTTTCGGAGGATCCAGATGGCCTTTGGTGGGACGGATATCGCCAGAAGAGAGCGGCAGGTAGAAAGTGAAACTAGCTACACAGCCTTCTAACTAGCTCGCAATGTATTCCTGTTCAACGCCATTATGTAATTCCTAGGGGTGTCCACTGTTCTTGTTTGGCATGGCGTGATATGAGCGAGAGCTAAATCTCACCCGAACGCCTTTACTTGTTCTGGCAGTCCGTAGCGGTAATAGTGTATAGTACACGTTCAAGGCTCTGCCTGGAACAATCCTCCCAGTTGAGACACCGCAAAATATGCCGAGCATAGCTCTATCTGTAATCATTGGTCCGAAGGTGCCTGTCAAAGTAACGGGCACGGGGTGGAGACGTTCGCCGCAGACGACGCTTGCTATTGTTAGCCATATATAATCTCCAAAATTTTCTCGGTGGGATTTGCTTATCATTCGCTTTCAACAAGAAAATTATTAACTTTCAATAAAGACAATGATAGAGACGCACTTCGCCTTCGTTTTGCCGGCAGCGGCTCTCTTGTGTTTCCTTCTGCGGGAAGTCTGGAAACACCATATACACTTGCAGTCTCTCAGAAGTAGCGCTAGAGAGACATGTTTCCAGGCCCGCCTCAATTTACTGAGGTCTAAGAGGTCAAAATGAAGCAGTCGACGTTCTGCTGAACCTTATCGAGCAAGATGGTGCCGGTCAGTGGCCACCGCTTGCTGTCTATGACGATTGGCCGTCAGCTCTCCAGCCATATAAAGACATATACCACGAGGTGGTGCCACAACTTTCTTCTTCTAGTCCGCTTCTTGATGATGATACTCTCATGGCCTGTCGTGAGTCGTTTCGGTCTCACATGCGTGAGCTTTTGAAAGAGCGGATAGATTTGCTCGAGGTGGAACGGCTGTTGAACGCGGCCGAAGCCGGCAACTGGACGAGCATGCGCCGTGAGCAGCTGAATGCTGTTTATTGTGCGGTCGCTGTTTTAAGACACACGTACAGGTAAGTTGCAATCACTTGTTCCAGGGACAGGATGACTTGAAAGGCTCTTTTGCTAAAGCGGTTGGTGATAGATGGGCAACCATCCCCGTCGTAAAAGTCGCACAAGCCGAGACCGTGATAGACTTTCCCGTCGAACTTGATAGTGCTTGGGCCTCGCTTCAACGACATTTTGGCTGCGCCGCAGAAAGCGGAAACAATACGGCAAATGTATTGTATAATTTCACCCCTGATGGCAACCGGGTGTTTAAGATCAACGTTGGCCAGTCAGATGAGATTGTATCGTCCGAAGAGGCATTCTTCCGCATGTTCTATGACATTGAAGACTTGGTACGGAATTACGACCTGGTACTACATGGTGTTGTGTCTTGGTTACTAATTATGAAAGTAGGCGCGTATTGTCTATATTGACATGGTGGACGCGATTGTGGCATTTGAGGAGAACCGAAAAGCAGACTGTCTGCGATGCCTCCAACAACTCAAACCCAAGTTGGACAAGATCTATCAACTTTTCTATGACGGCCTGGTTGATGCCAAGATATCCCGTAAAGTTTGGCTGAGCTACTGCCAAGGCTTTCAGGGTTGGGGTGTTGGCCGGGTTATCGATGGCCGCCATGTCAAGTATGACGGTCTATCAGGAAACCATCCTCTCATCTTTCAAGCAATCGATGCTTTCTTTGGCATGGAACGCTATCTTATCGACGAGAACATGATCCGTTACATCCTGGTCCGCCAGCGCGAGTTTACGAGCGTCTTGAGACGGCACTCTATCCGCGCCCAGATTGAAAAAGGGGAATGTGAAGAGATTCAGGCGGAGATAAGCAAGCTTGTGCAGGCCATGAGAGTAAGCTCATTATCATACACCATTCCATTCTCATAGCCTGTTCCGCTGACACTGTGTCCAAAGGTCTTCCGCGCGGCACAGGACGCGAGTAATCCCATACCTGCAGCAGCCAGCGCCAGAGAGACTAATCATGACGGCGGGCGAATCCATTTTGGAGAACGAGACACAAACGGACCTGAAGACGCCTTGGCCCCGCTGAAAAAGATGATGACGACTAGACTGCAGGAGACTGTCTAGGTGTTGTCTGAGATGAACTGTCAGAAGGATAGACGATACGGAAGTGGCCAGCTGTGAAAGGAAACTAGACTTAAGCATGTAACAAAAACCCACATGGTGATTTCTTTTCCGAGAAAAGTCAAGGATGTTCGCAAAGCGCTTGCACTACACAACCCACGTAGCTTAGCAGGCTGTTTTTAATTTTTAGTTGTACACCGCTGCAGCTACCCTACAAAATCATGATTCATTCATCCATTGCAGAAATATCTGGACGTATGCGTGCTCTCAGTAAGACAGAAACGGGAGCAAGGCGGAGGTTCGTCTTGCACCAAAGGCTGGCTCGCAAAGTGAAAAGGAATGCTTACCGAAACAAGAATACCTCAAATTATGGACAATTTGAAAATATCGCGTTCGTAGAATCGTTGCTGCACACTCACCTTGTTTTCTTGGCGGCGCTCTCATTTATGTATTGGAAAATGCCATCTTCTCGTCGCCGCAACTCCCGCTGGGCCATTGTTGTTAGAATTTCAATGGTGTCGCCGCGGCCCGTCTGCCCGGCACGGCCCCCGGTACGGTTCGATGCCGGACTGTCGTCGACGGTGTCCAGGTCCATGGAGCAGCGTGGGGCTGCCGTGTGCTCTACGAACTGCCGGAGCGACTCGCGGAGATTCTGGGCCGTCTGGGAGACGAGCTGCAGGTGGATTTCGGCGGCCGACTTTCTCGATACCTGCAGCCGGATG